GCAGGGACAGACGGACCCTCGCGTGCGACTCGGCAGGGAAGCTGCTCAGGTCCCGGACGCGCGAGATCCTGACTGTCCGGCCAAAGTTTGGAAACAGATGCGCTTTCGTGGGAGACGAGTTAAAGGATGGGGCGCTGTCCCGGGGGATGCTATGGAGTCGGTAGTTCATGGCTGAGACCGACCTGGAGGTGCTGAGGTGGTAACGTTGCGGGGTAACGCGGGGTGCCGTTTGTGTAGGAGGAGGGAGTGTTTGCACACTTGTGCGCGGTCCCATGTGGATGAAACGTCTCTGGAAGGATATACGAGGACCTGGCGAACCCAGTCGCAGCTGGCCAGGGGGCCTGTTTGTCCTCATCTGTTAGAAATTTTCATCAGGGGATTAGATGCCATGTTACTCCTCCACCCACCTCGGCGACAATAAGGCCAGTCCAGTTTTGTTTTCTTTGTCCATCACGATTCAGGTTTCTTTGGGAAGGTTTGTTGTTTGTAAACAAAACATGGTGTTTATTTGCTGCTGTGTCATGCATTGGCAAGTATAGAATGTAGGATTCTGTTATTTTAGTAGAATTATCCAGAGCATTGTGGAAAACGGGATATCCGTGAAGGTATAAATTTAGGTCTTTTCCATTAAAAAAAAAAAAAGTGTAAGTGGGGAGTGATTTGTTCTGATTGTCTGTCCATTTACTCATTCATTAAAATTGTTTATTAGATGCTCTGTGGGCAGTGGTTCTGAGTGGACAATTATGCAATCATTAGAAGTGGTGATTATGAAGACCGGCTAAGTGGAAAAATGTTTACAGTGTAGGGTTAAACAGAGAAAATAAATGGGATGTAAATGGCATATGTGACATGATTACAGTTGTGTGAGAGAGGAAAAAGACCCAGGAGAAGCACATTGAATAGTAACAGTAGTTACCTTAGAGTAATATAGGTTCATTCTCTTTTTCAGTATTCTTGTGTTGTGGCTATAATATTTGTATAATCAATACGTTAAATTAAACGTGTCTAAAACTAATATTTTAATGGGTCTTTAGTCATTTTTTCCAGTAATTTTAGTGAAAGAAAATTGGCTAGTATAAATGTCCTGTGTTTCAAGTTTTCAAATGCCTTCAGCATTTTCATCTAGAGAAATAACTATGAATTTCTATCATTTCTATTGTAATTTTAATAGTCTTTGCTATAGGACCCAACAGGTAGGTGAGTTTTATCATTCCTGTTTTACAGATGAGGAAATTGAGGCTCATGAGTAACTTGGCATCAGTGAGCCCCTCCATGTTTCCACACATTTCCCTGGGATTGCAGTGCCACGAAAGCACTAGGTCCTGCTCATCAAGCTTGTCACTTATTCTCATGCAATTTACTATTTACAAAAGGGAAAAAATCAGGGCCAGCCCGTGGCTCACTTTGGAGAGTGTGGTGCTGATAACACCAAGGCCAAGGGTTCAGATCCCTACATAGGGATGGCCAGTTAGCTCACTTGGGAGAGCGTGGTGCTGACAACACCATGTCAAGGGTTAAAATCCCCTTACTGGTCATCTTTTAAAAAAAAATAAATAAATAAATAAATAAGTGGAAAAATCCATTTCTTGCCTTTAAATGTTTTCTCATAGTCTTCATTTTTTCTCATAGTTGCACACTTATCCCATCATATTGACGTAATAGTCCTTATAATTAATCATCCTGTTCCATAGCCTTTGGGTTACTTTCAGTATTTACTCTTTTAGAAGGAATATTGCTGTATACTTCTGTTCTATTTTTAATGTTCAAGACTGTCTTCTAAAGATATACATAAATCAGGAGAACTAATATGAACAAAAAAATTTGCTTTCTGAGTCTTCTGAAGAGTTCAGCGTATTAAATCATTAGGGATATTATTAAAGATTTTTTTTTGTTTATTTTTCTGATTGCTTTTTTTAATTGGTTATGAATATAAAAGGAAAGTCAAGCAGTATTATTAAAGTTTGAAGGTGTGATGCAGTCTGACTGCAGGGAGGATGTAAATTTATGATGCCTTAGAGACTACTGACTGATTGTCAATTAAGTGTAATCACTTTGATGTATTTGATTTTTTAATTAAAATAAGTATATTTTATTTTTCATTTGTGTTGTATATTATGTCAAACTAAGTGTGAAGTGTGTACGAACTTCATTAACCACAGCGAGTGTTCTAGAATTTTAGCCTAAATTTACATATATATATCTATATATATTGCTTTGCATTTAAAAAAGAAAAGTTCAACCTGCTGTAATTAACACATTACTTATTTTTTCAGGCATGTGGGCACATTCCATGACAGTACAGGATTATCAGGATCTTATAGATCGAGGATGGCGAAGGTAAAGCTCCTTAATACAAAGAGACTTTCTGCTGTTACTTTCTTATAATTGAAAAATTGGGTTTGTCTTTAAAATGTTTTCCTGTTGGAAAGAGGTTTAAGGGTGTTTTTATTATTGTATTCTTTTGTGTAGTGATTTTGCTTTCTTTAAAAAAAAGCCTTATTCAGAAAATTTTATTTATTTATTTATTTTTGTCTTTTTCGTGACGGGTAAGGGGATTGCAACCCTTTGTGTGGTGTTGCCCACACCGCGCTCAGCCAGTGAGTGCACCGGCCATTCCTATATAGGATCCAAACCTGCAGCGGGAGCGTCGCTGCACTCCCAGAGCCGCACTCTCCTGAGTGCGCCACGGGCTCGGCCCAGAAAATTTTAAATATACACAAAAGCAGAAAGTAAGTTATAATGGACCTCATGTACCTATCACCAGGCCTCAACAGTTATTCACATTCTGCTGATTTTGTTTCATTGAGTCTCTTCACTCCCTCTCTGCTCCCCTCCCAAAGTGCTTTACAGCAAATTACGTGTGTGAATTATTATTACAGACATCATATCAATGTACCTGTAATAGGTATGAATCTCTGAGAGGATTCTTTTTTTCTTTTTAACATATCTATAATGCCATTATCATACCTTACAAAATTAATAATTCTTTGATGTTATCTGTTACTTACTTTTGATTAGATTTTCCAGATTGTCTGAAAGTTTTATTTTTTTTTACAGTTTATTTCAATTAGGATTCCATTAAGATCCACACATTGCCTTTTTTGGGTAGTTATTTTTATGTAGTTTTTTCTTTGGCTGCTGGTTGGTACATGGTATAGATAATTTTTAAGTAACTCTTAGGCAAAGTTTCTTATGTAAATATAAGCAATATGAAATATTCTATGACAATACTCTCCAAAAGACAGTGTAGTTTGAACCACCCAAAATATCACAACTTTCCTTCAACTTAACAATGAGGCTCAAAAGGTAGGCACAGATCAGACGTTGATGGACTTTGCCATAGTAAGGAACTTTTTTTTTAAGGTTAGAAGGGAGCCGTTGAAGGATTTTATGTGAGAGAAATGTGATGGAATTTGTTTTGCGTAAGATCATTGAGACTGCAGGGAGGTATTTGAGGAGGTGGTCATGGAGGCAGAAGGATGAGTTCCAGACTTAGTGCACTGTCCAAACGTGAGATGATGAAGACGAGTCTTAGTGGCAATGATGATAGGAGGGGACAAACATAAGATACATTTTAGAGGTAAAAAGCTTGCTGAAAGAATGTGGAGGTGAATTAAAGGGAGGAGTCAAAAATGACTCCCAGTTTCTGGTGGGAACTGAATGAATGGTTCTGCTGTTATCTGACATCAGCAATGCATGGAAGGATTTGGGTTCGTTTATGCAAGTGTGGATGTCACAGGCAGCAGAATACATCAGTCCTACAGCATCATGGGCAGTTGTCTGTCGTTGCCCTTGTGGTATTTAGGATTGGTGGTAGGTGAAGGCATGGAAGGGATATCAGATGCTGATGAGAGGGTAATTGAGATGATTGACCTTGGTGTTCATAGATAAAGCTTTAAGAAATAAAAGGCTAGGTTCTAGTCCTTGGTGCACCCACTTTGAAGATTGTTTATTTCATGAAGAGTAATTAAACCCAAGTGCATTTACACTATTGATTAGATTTTTATCCTTAATTAATTTAGTTCTCTGAGCTAATCTATTTTGGTACATGTGAAAAATGATTAAGAAATTAACAAACTATTTTTATAATTTTAGAAGTGGGAAATATGTGTACAAACCCGTCATGAATCAAACATGTTGTCCTCAGTACACAATAAGGTAAGAATTTTAATTAATAGAAGATAATAATATGAAAATCGTGTATACTTTTTTAGTAGTCTCTTGTGTTTTGTAATGTTAATTTCCACTCTAGGTAGACGGTCTTTATAAGGAAGAGCAAATGAGTTATGTTTTTTCTACATACAGATGGCTATATTTATGTGCTGATCAATAGCTTTTAGTAATACTGTTTAATTGATTCAGATATAAATATGATGTGAAAAAATATCTTGATATTTTTTCTCATCATTGGGTGTCATGAAATATTGGGAAACTTGGTAACTATTCAAGTTATTTTTAAACAGCACATTTTTATAGGACTTTGCATATTCTGGTGTATCGTTTGACACAGTGCTTGCATTCAAACAATGCTAAAAATTCTGTAAATTATGTGGTAGGAACAGGGCTTAAACTTAATCTGTCACCTACATTCAGAGTCCAGTTTTCTCAAATGGAAATCTTAAGCCAAAATGTCTGTTTTCCTACAGTGTTTGTTGTATTTTTTATAATCTTTTGGGTTTTCCATGCACCCTCTCACCTTACGCTAACATAGAATTTTCTCTCCTTTTCTGATAGCAAAAGTCATCATCATCTTTTTTCCTTTTTTTTGGTATAAAATGTGGAAAGTACATTAACATATTGAAGTATGTATTTGTCTCCAGTTTCAATGTGTACATATGAGTATGCTCTAGATAAAAAAAAATCAAATGCAGTTATATTCATCACTTTTTTTGTCTGGTCCTCACAGCTGTGTCCCTTAGTTGTTCTTAACTTGTTTTGGGGTTGTAGACCATTTTGAGAATTTGATGAAAGCTATAGCATCTTTCTCCCTCTACCCCCTCCTTACCAGTCATCTAGACACAAATATGTAACATGTTAGATATTAATTTTAGGGTGATCATGGACTCCCACAGGTCCACTGATCCCTGATTAAGAGTCCTTTCTCTTACCTAACTAGACATTGGATTGGCAGTTGATAAAGAAAAAGATGGGTGTCTGCTTTGCTGACACCATCTCATTTATCCCATGAAGAATAGAATGACAGAATAGCTCGTGCTGTCCTTTCTCAGCTTTTGTGGTGATGAGATGACATCCTCTAAGGCAGAAGTCATTTTCCTTCAGATGGCAATTTATTGGATTGTGGACAGAATTCTGTTCATAAGTTTGAAGTGGATTGGCCTGAACCCTGCCAGTCTTTATGATCAGAAAAGGCCAATTTCAGTTGGTTAAAGAAAAAGATAAAGCATCTAAAATATATTGGGTGCCTGTTATATGCAAAGCACTATTCTAGGAATATTGCCTTTATAAAGAGGATTTCAGTTAACATTGCAAAGCAAAGTAGTTATAAAATGTGATTTTTACATTTAACATGGAATCAAAACATTTCCTGAATTTACTCTTTACACAATTTTATTATATATCTTGATCTTGTGAAGTCATTTTCCAAGTTTACTCTTCTGGTTATTTTTCTTTGTGTTCTACAGTAGTTATAATGAGAACATATATAAAGGGAAGGAGGTTAAATTGTACAACTTAGCTTCTCATTAGGCAGAGATTAGGGGGTGCCCAGTATATGAATATAAATTAGGATGAGCTTCTCTGGCTATGATTTTTTTTTTTTAGCTTTTATTTTAATCAGAATTATACATGCTCATAATTTAAAGTGTCAGATAGTTCTATAAAGCTTATTTTGGAAAATAGTCCCTGAACCCACTTTCCCATTTCTTGTTTCCCAGTGGCAGTCACCTTCAAATGTTTTAACTGATTCTTTTGGTTTTTCATCTCTCTACTTTTAAGTATCATGCTCATATAATAGTAATACTTGATATATTCTTTTGTTTTTCTTTTGTTTTTCTTTCATATCTCTGGGTTTCTATCTATAAAAGGTAAGGGTTTAGTTTTCTTTCATCCCACTTCTCCTGCCATATTCAAGCCCTTTTTATCCTCATCCCCAACTTCCCATTTAGAAATATTGTAATTTTTTAAAGCATTTTATTTTATTTTGTCAGTATACAGTGTGGTTCATTATTGTGGCCCATTACCAAAAACTCTGTCCCTCTTCCCTTCCCCCCTCCCTCCCAACAACCTCATATCTGTTCGCTTGTCATATCAACTTCAAGGAATTATAATTGTTGTGTCTTCTTCCCTCCCCCCCCCAGTTATATGAAATATTGTAATTTTGGATGGATGTAGTCACATTGTTATAACTGTGTAAATATGCTTCACAGCTGAGCCATGTGGTATTATTTTCCTGCACAAGTTTTTGTTTTCTCTGGAGTTAATAATTATCTTTTTTGTTTATATAGTCTTATGTGCACCTATCACCAGTTTATTTTGAAATGCTCTCCCAGTTGTGTAAGTGTCCTCTTAGTATATTTAGATGCATCAAGTTACTCTATCACTTACCTTTTTTTTTTTTCCTTTTTGTCTTTTTTACTGACCGGTAACGGGATCGCAACCCTCGGTGTTGCGCCCGCACCGCGCTCAGCCAGTGAGCGGGAACTGGTCTCCACATGGGATCTGAACCCTCGGCGGAGTGCCGCTGCGCTCCCAAGTGGCGCACTTTCCAGTGCGCCACCGGGCCGGCCCTCTATCACTTACCTTTTTGATGAAAGTCTCTCATGGAGCCTTCTGACCAGCTCTGATCTGGACAGTTTACCTTCCACATCTGGTGCATCAGTCATCCTGGGATTTCTTTTTACTATCATCTTGGGCATCTCTTTAGCTCTTGGGTTGAATCCCTGTCTCCTGTGTCCTCTGCCTTTTTTCTCGGATTATTCTCTTGTTTTAGTAAAGCACATTTTCTGATAGCTTTCTGAGAAAAAGTACATGAGTGGTAAATTTTTTTGAGACTTTGCATGTCTGAAAATGTTTTAACTCACTGTTCAAACTTAACTAATAGTTTGGCTGGAGCAGAAGTGTAGGATGAAAATAATTTTCCTTTAGAATTTTGAAGGCTTTGCTCCATTGTTGTATTACTGTTGAGAAGTGCAGTGATATTCTGATTGTTGTACCTTCGTATGATTCTTGTACGTTTGTATGATTCTTGTACCTACGTATCCTTTTTCTTTGGAAGCTTTCTTTTGTCCTCAGCGTTCTTATATTTTGTAGTGTATTTGGCCGTGTGTCTTTTTATCCATCTCATGTGGACTTGAGGTGCCCTTCACGTCTAGGAGCTCCTCCCATCATATTCTCCCATTCAGGGAAATTTTCTTAAATTATTTTTTCGATTTATTCACCTCCAGTTTTTTTTTTTTCTTTCTTCTTTCATACCTTTATTTAAATATTGGACCTTTTAGACTGGTCCTCTAATTTTTTCTTTTCAGTTTTCCTGCTCTTTTTTTGCTGAATCTTCTGGGAGATTTCCTCAACCTTATCTTCCAAGTCTTCCACTGAATATTTTATTTCCGCTATCATACTTTTACTTCTGAGAAGTCTTTTTGTTCTTAGGCTCTAATAACCTGTTATTTCATGGCTGTAATAGCTTGTGAGAAATAGGAGATTTCCTTGAGGATTTTTTTTAAGGTCCTTCCTGCATAGCCTGTATCCCCTACATTACTTCCTCCAGTTTGGTGCCTATCTTTGTGGTAGAGGTCTTCCTCAAGTGTCTGATCATTCTGACTTTTCAATGTCCCATTGGAAATCTTGTGCACCTGGGGGGTCTTGGTCTTGTTTACTGTGGGTGATCTAGCTGGGCTCTTCTGTTGGGGAATCACTAATGTCAGTATTTTCAGGTCTGATTACATTCTGGAGAGAAAATATGATGTGCTGGTGTTCTGGGGCTGGGTTGGGGCTCTCCACATTCAGTATGCACACGGTCATGTAAACTTCCTGTTTTTAGTACAGTGCCATTGCTTTCAACTGTGACCTAAATCCTTCATCTAAAAGGTCCTCTTTTTTACTCTTTCCTGAAAGCTTGCAGTTTTCTGCTGAGTTTAGTAGGGAGTCATCTGTGTGGTTGGGGGAGGGGTCTGACATCTATCTTAACTGCTTCAAAAACAGACTTTCAAGGGATCCTCCTCTTTTTAGACCCGCCTTCATTGTATTCCCAGAGTGTCACTTATCATCAATCCCCAAGACTTTTGGGGATAATATGAAGAAAATTAGTTATCTTTTTGGCTTACGTTTCAGCTTTCTCGGGTCTGCTAAGCCAGTTGCCATTTGTACACATGCTTTCCAGCTTCGAACACTTCTTCCCTGCTCTTTTTCCTAATGGTTTATGTCTTTTTTTTTTAATTCCTTAATTGTAGTTTTACTGTAATTTGGGTTGGGATTAGAAGCTACAGTAAACCCCATTTTTAACCAGAAATTCTAGGCATGAGATTTACCTCTCTGTACTAGATACTATCCAGACCTGATTTCATTTCTTCAAAGGTTGAGTTTACTTTTTAAATATATATTTTGCTTTCCTAGGTGCCGACCTTTACAGTTTCAGCCATCAAAATCTCACAAGAAGGTTTTGAAAAAAATGTTGAAATTTCTGGCTAAAGGGGAAATTTCCAAAGGAAGTTGCGAGGGTAAGATGAGATGGGGGTGTAAAAACTAGTTACTTTAAATTGACGTATTTTTCCAGGGTTCCTACTTTCAGTGATCTTAAGTTAGGTAAGGGAAGTTGGTCATTACTAGAATCATGTACTACTACTATGATGACAGCAACTACTGTTAGCACTGCAATTACTATTGCCACTGGCCCCCAAATGAAGGCTATAGAGAATATAGACCAGAGAGTCTAGCTTGGAAAGAAAATTGAGGATCATTTTAAAGATGTTGTGATTTCCTGGAGTTTATTGAAATGTTGGTTTTTGAAATGCTTTGAAAACTCATCTTATTTGATCCTAATAATATCCTTATGAAGTAAATAGAAGGTAGCATTATCTCTGGAGAAACAGATGCTTAGATGTAGCTTATACAAGATGGCACAGTTTGATGCTGAGTAAGATTAGGTTTTGTGTTTGAGTAAGGCTTTACTTCAGTAAATTATATTGTCTGAAATTGTTTCTTGTTTGTCTTATAAATTTTTAATTGTGAGTGACTTTCCTAAAAGAATTAGTAGCATTTAATTAACTTTGGTCACAGATACTTTGCTTTCTCAGTTTTTTTTTAGTGTTCTTAATTTTTTCTTTTTTTTTAAGCTTTCCTGAAGGTAGTGTCTAACACATGAGCATGAGAATTGGGAATGCCACCCATTCTTAGAGCTTTTTCTCACCACTGCCATAGGAAATGCCTGATTCTGGAAACTTTCTACCCCAGTTTTAGCTCATTAATTTATTCCACAAGTATGTTTTGAATGCCTACAACATCAGTTGTAAGCACTGGAGGTACAGTGACCAGCAAGGCAGGTAAGTTCTTCAACCTCATGCACAGCCCTTAATGGACCAGGATTCAGGGCAACTTGGAGCAGACTTGCAGAACTGGGGGCAACGAAGAGAAGAGGCTAGAAGGCTTAGTTTTATAGGTTTAGGGGCAGTTGGAGCATTGTAAATATCAGAATTTTGGTCCAGCTGTGATAAGTATTGTTGGTACATAATCTTAAAGGTTAAATAGATTTTGTTGGCTAGTCAATATACAATTTTTTTGGTGGCTAGGAATCATGTTCTGACTTTCAAAAATTAATATGCAGATAAGCTTTCAGGATGCTCTCCATTTGTGAATTGATGGTTGCCTGTCTTTTTACATAGCTTTTATATTTGGTTCTTTATTTCACTTATTATGGGCTTCTGAATTTTTGTGTGTGGAACTTAATTCATAGGAATGATTTAATCATTAGAGTAAAAGGCTAAATAGTTATGACAAAGAGACACCAAATGATAAAAGTCTGTTTCTTTCCTCACATAACAGTCCAGTGTGGGTGTTCCAGGTCAGCCTGCAGCTCTGCTCCCCCCAGCCATTCTGGGACTCTCTTCAAAATGTGATTTCCCAGGTCGCTCTGGTCTTTACTAATCCAGCCAGTGGGGAGGGGAAAGTATGGAAGTACAGGGTCACAAATTTCCTTTAAAAAGTGAGGCAAAAAAAAAGGAAAAAAAATAAAATAAAAAGTGAGGCAAAATTGGACATATCAATTGTGTTATATTTCATTGGCGGGAACGTGGTCATACCTTATAAAGTGACTAGTGGTGTTTTCCCCTGCTAGAGTGCCACAGTCTTTAGTACAGCTCTCATACTTAGGAAGACAGGAGAATGTGTTTGGTAGACACATAGTAGTTCATGCCACACTGGGTAATAGAGGTATTGTATTCCTGTATTTATCTTAACTATGTCCAATGACCCGGCTGATGGACTTTCATTTCTTCTGATTTGTAGATGAGCCCATGGACTCCGCAATGGCTGATGCTGTTGCAGGTGACTTTGCATTAATAAATAAATTGGATATACAGTGTGATCTTAAAACGCTCAGTGATGACCTCAAAGAGAGCTTAGAGAGTGAAGAGAAGAAGAAAGGAAAAAACTCTAAGAAAGAAGAATCGAATGAATTGGTTCAGTCACAAGATATAGAAGAGAAGTTGGGCTCTGGTGAACCATCACATTCAGTTAAAGTTCATACAGTTCCTAAGCCAGGTAGGGAAAGTTTGATATCAGGTCTTATTAACAGTTTTTCTTTTTGCTTACATCATAATCCCTGGGCCCTACCATCAGCCAAAAAGATGAATTGCTCATGAAATTTATAAAATAGAACCCTAATTTTTTTTTTTTGTCTTTTTTTGAGACCAGCTGCACCACACTCAGCCAGTGAGCTGGTGACCGGCCATCCCCATATAGGATCCGAACCCGCGGTGGGAGCGCTGCTGCTCCCAGCACCACGGGCTCGGCCCAGAACCCTAATTTTTTAATACTAATTATTACCTGCATTTAGATGGACAAATCAAGCCTTTTTAAAACTACTATGCTTAAAAAGCCTGAAATAATAGCCTTTTAAATCCCCAAATACAGACATTTTAAAAGAATTCTATTTCTTCTAACTGCCATAGGGCCTTAGAAATTGGGAACCAAGTTATGTCAGTGAAAAGATACCGTGATAAATATTCTTACTTTCGGAATTGAAACAATGTATATTATAGCTATTATGTCCAAAATACAGACATAGTAAAATTTTTTAGTTTATCCTTAAATTTTTTATGTAATTATAATAAAGTTTAGTTTAAAAATGTCTAGATTTTGATGTTTAACTTCACCTTTAATAAGGTAAGATTTTTTTTCTATATTATCACTTACAAAAGAATTAGGTTTAAAATTTTATCCAACATTAAATGGGCTTAGTGTGTGTGTGTGTGAGACTCTTTCAAAATTATTTCATAAAATGTGAAATTCTTGAATTAGTTTTTATATTTATTTACTGAAAGTGATCCAAGGGAGAGATTTTTAGTACTCTGTTGGCTTTTCTTGTCTAAATTATGTTATACAAGTTGAGGCACAGAAAACTTTCCATTTGCACTTTTATCAAATAGTTTTTTACGTAAGTCTTTCATGGTATTTAAATTGATGTTGGTCAAGCTTTGCGCAGTGGCAGTATCGTAGCCAATGAGGTTTATCTGAGGCGTGATTATTGCTAATTAGATTGATGGTCTGAGATTTCCTCCTCATTAATAAAATTAGTCCAATAAAATATTTTGAATGACTTAGACAATTTCTTTCAACTCTTACTCTCTTGGGTGATAGGGTGAATTCTTTTATTTTTATTTTTTAAAAGTTACTTACAGTTTGTTAAATTTTAAAATCTTTGTGGAGAATTTCAAACATACAAGCATAGATTGAATAGTACGATGAACGTCCATGTCCCCTACCCTAATTTGAAACAATTATTGACACATGACAGCCACTCCTGTTTTGTTTATACCCATATCTAGTTCCCCACTTCCAGTATTGTATTGAACCAAATTCTAGACATTATGCCAGTCTTTGTTTCATAATGTATCTCTAAAAGATAAGAACTTTAAAGAAACGTATTCACAGTACTATCATTACACCTAAATAAAATTCCTTAATGCCATCGAATATTGTGTTCAAATTTCAATTTTTAAACAGTAGTTTGTATCAGGATCCAGATAATGTCCCTGTATTGTATTGCAATTGGTTGATACATTTTTAAAATCTCTTGATCTATCGATTTCCCTTCCATTGTTATCCCTTTTTTTTTTACTTGCAGTTTACCTGTTGAGGATACTGGGTTGTTTGTCCCACTCTGTAGACTGATCACATCTGTAATGTAGTTTAACCTGTTCTCTGCCCACCTGTAAATTGAGAGTTGGATCTAGAGCCTTGATCAGATTCAGGGCTGAATTTTCTTTTGTTTTTTGGAGGTAGGGGCAAGTCTTAAATCAGATTCAGGTTTGAATTATTTATTTGAGGATGGGTAAGGCTACTTCATGGGTGGTCGAATGTTCTTTCAGGAGACATATAATATCTGGGTGCCTCTCGTGTTAGTGCTAACAGTCATGCATGCTCAATGCCTAAATCTTTCAGTCATTACATATTCCAATTCCGTCCTTAATTCTTCATTTACTGACTGTAGTACTTCCATAAAGACAAACTTCCTGTCATCTATTTGTTTCCCGTAAAAACTCATAGCAAAGGCAGAATAAATTCTTGATTCTTTTTACTTACTTTTTTTTGAAATAACACCTAATGGTGACCAATTAGGTTTTTTTTGGTATCGTTGTGAACTCATGGATCTAAACATATTTGCTATGTTGTAATCTGTTGCTCCTGTGAGAGCTTCAGAAGTTGGCTTCTGAGTCTTTCTGACACAGTCCTAGTAGGTTTGACAGCTTCCTTGCTATGCTATGATATGATGCTCCTGTATCATCTTGCACAGACATTTCTTCAAGCACGTCAAGTTCCTTTTGGTGGGAAATGGTGTTTGGGGAATCACAGACTAGACTAGGTATACATTATTGCTACTGGCTTGCTCACTGTTTTCTAGTTCTTTTTATGAGCAGACTTGTGGAGTTATAAGTTCATAAGGATAATTAAAAGTTCAAATTCAGGACTATGGCATTTTAATTTTTTTTTTTTTTTTTGATTTCATGTTTGTGTCTTCTTTCTTCCACACTGAGAAATGTTCTCAAAGACATGAGGGATGGTAGAATTAGATGAGGGTATCAAAGTTACCCATTTTTTTTTAATCCCACATTGTACAACAGTTTTATAATAACAATAACATTACCTCCAGCAGTATGATTGATGAAACATTAAAAGCTTTTTTTGCAGTTTTTTTTAACCTTAGGATATCTCTATCAAGAATTCAAGACTATTTTCAACCGTAGGAATCTTTGGATTTTTTCTGGAACCTGCATTTCCATTTCATTAAAAAAAAAATATTACAAATATATTCTCAAGTGGACTTAATTAGAAATTATGCAGGTCTTGGGCCGACCCTGTGGAGCACTCGGGAGAGTGTGGCGCTGGGAGCGCAGTGACGCTCCCGCCGCGGGTTCAAATCCTATATAGGGATGGCCGGTGTGTTCACTGGCTGAGCGCAGTGTGGGCGACACCACACCAAGGGTTGCGATCCCCTTACCGGTCACGAAAAAGACAAAAAAAAAAAAAGAAATTATGCAGGTCTTCTAAACTCTATGTTGTTCAGTTGGTTAAGAGCTTGTGTTCTAACACCAAGGTCAAGGGTTTGGATAGCTGTACTGGCCAGCTACCAAAAAACTTTTTTTTTCAAATCATTTCAGACTAATCTAGGATTCTTGAGTTGCTTTAAACCTCTGTGGGTGCAGGATTGATGTGGTGTACTAATTTTATGTTAATGATCTGTTTCTATTCTGCTGAAGGGACTTATTTGCCTGGGAGATCTGTATCCTTTAAATAAGCTAAAATGCTAATTTGCTGTGATTAGTAATGTGGTAGGTCTGGTTATCATCTTTCTTGCTAATATTAATAGGTAACCCCAGTTGAAGCGTAGATAACTGTTTTACGAGCTGCACATAGATTAACTCATTTAACCCTCACAGGAATGCCATTCTTAGGTCTGATTATCACCTTTCTTGTACAGACAGGGAAGCTTGCTCAAGGGTACTTAGCCAAGAGATAGAGCTGATCCATGTCCTCTGGTGGCCTATGTCAGAGTGTGTGCTCTTAACTGTTGTGCCCCTCAGAACAAATTTGAGAAAAGACACAGTCCCTGGCCTAAGAAAATTAATTCAGTAAGGCAATCAAGTAACAGTCAATTATAGAATCAGTCTTTTTTTACCTGGTTATTAGACTTACTCAAAGTCTTTTCTTATAGGTAAACTTTGTTTTTAGTTAGAAGACATGTTTGTGAACTCACTCTTACCAAATTTGTTTCTTTTTTTTTTTGTCTTTTGTCTTTTTCCGTGTCTGGCAACGGATCGCAACCCTCAGTGTTGCCCCCGTACTGGACCGGGGACCGGCAACGGGATTGCAACCCTCAGTGTTGCTCCCGCGCCTCGCTCAGCCAGTGAGCGGGAACCGGTCTGTATGTGGGATCCGAACCCTCGGGCGGGAGCGCCGCCGCGCTTCCCAAGCGGCGCACTTATCCAGTGCGCCACCGGGCCGACCCTTACCAAATTTGTTTCTATTGACCATCTCTTAGTTTCTGGTAAGACCCTTAACCATTCTAGATCTTAATTTTCTTCTCTATAAAAACTGAATTTGCTAGTCTTATATACCTTCCTATTGCTGACTTTTATATGATTTGTGAATATTGTGTTTCATGGTCTTAAAAAGCAATAGTTTATTTATTTCATTAATAGCTTTTAAAAAAAATTACAAAAGTAATGTTCATTGTTAGAAAATTTGGAGAAAAGAGAACACTACAAAAAAAGAAGTGGAAAAATCCTTTATTTCTAAACCCAAGTAAAATGACTGTTAACATGGTGTCATATTTCTTTCTAGGCTTTTTTGAAATATTTTTAATGTATATATTTGTACATAACTGGAATTATTTTTAAACATTGTATAATGAGAAATCCCCTAAAACTTCCAAAGCATTGAAAATGGCTGTATGACATTCTGAAAAATGTGTAATTGTTCCATAATTGGGCATTTAGATTATTTTGAGATTTTCATTTGTGTTCATCATTATTTGCCTTTATCTTTCATGACTTCCTCAGGATAGATTCTTTGCAGAAGACTTATTAGATAAAAGACTATTCTAACATTCATAGTTTATAATAGTTAAAATTTTTATATTGTAAAGGGCTCTCAGTTTGATATTAGGTCTTTTAATTAGAACAAAACTCTGATTAACTAGAACTGAACTAGTCAGACCCAAATACCTTCAGAATGTGGAAAGAAACACAAATACCTTCAACTAAACAAGGATTTTTTTTTTTGTTTGTTTGTTTTTTTGTTAAGGAAACCTGCCAGAGTTTGTTCTGGGATCTGTACTCATTTACAACTGGTTCCTAAGTATTTATATTTACCTATGTCACCAGTGCTTTCAGAGAAATGTCCCTCAGAAATGCGGGCCAGAGATAACAGTGTCTTTATGGAGCAGAAGTTATTTGATTTGGTTATGTTTTTTCTATTTACAAAGGCAAAGAAGTGAAGGATACTAAAAAAAAAAAGATTTTCAAGAATGAGAGCTGCCTTGAAAAGTTTCTGTGATTACTTACTTTGGCAACTCCTGCTTCTAAGGTAGAATTTTAAGAACAACTTAGTGCTTTATACCAGGATCCTCTGAAACATCCACCCCAAAGCTAACCTGTTGGAACTCTTTGGACTTATTCTGTAGAATCTTGGAGACTTTTGAAACAACATTTCTAAAACCAAATGTGATTGCTCTAATATTTTGAAATTCTTTTTAGGCAAAGGGGCTGATTTGAGTAAGCCTCCATGTCGAAAAGCAAAGGAAATCCGGAAAGAAAGGAAAAGGTTAAAACTTATGCAGCAAAAGCCAGCTGGAGAACTTGAGGGTTTCCAGGCTCAAGGTCACTCACCGTCTTTGTTTCCACCAAAGGCTAAATCCAACCAGCCCAAATCACTTGAAGATTTAATTTTTGAATCTTTACCAGAAAGTGCATCCCACAAGTTAGAGGTACTTTGGAGGGTTTTTGTTTGTTTTATTTTTTGTTGAGTACCTTGTTTGTTTTCATTTAAGGTTGTACTAATCAGTTGATGTTTTGCTATTTAAATAATAAGAAATTAAAGAGTTGGGATGGAGGAGCATTTGTATTTACTAAGCTAATTGCTCTTTGAGAGAGTACTTTGTTTTTCTTTTTTTAAAGACTTTTTGAAAATACTGTAGGCAGTTGGCTAGTAAAGTTGTGAAAACAATTCCAGTTTTAGCATGTTATTATGCAGGGTGCTCCTGCTTTTTGTATCCTTTGATTGAAATTTAGTAGTTAAAGTAAAAAAGAAAAATACTCTTTAAAATTTCATTTTTGGCAGTTTTGGTTTAGATAGTAAAAGAGAGTAGGTCACAATAAGCAAATAAACGTTTTATCTATTATAATATTATGATCTTGATAAGGCAGCAAATGCTGTCACATGCAAGCCAGCAGTTAGGAATTAACTAAACGGTACTAAATTGTACTACTAAAATCCTCTCATTAATGTGCAAACCAATTTAGGCATAATATGAATACTTGAATGCATAATATGAATAGATGAGCCAGATTCCTTCTTTTTTCCAAGTTGATTTACATTTCTAGATCAAATCTGGATTTCTCAGTATTAGTTTGTATTTATAAAATTCTTTCTAAAACATAAACCATAACAATTTTATCATATTCTCTGGTCAGTCTTTGCATTTATAGCTTAATAGTATTTAAGAAGATCACTTATCACTAAAGACGTGATGCTAAGAATTAACTTTGATGCATTCTAAACCTTAGGACAATATATGTATTTTCAGACATAAATTTTATTTTAACAACTTTTACTATTAAAACTCCTTGGCTACTCTGATTTTGATATTGACTTCTCCTTCCAATATTGTAAAGAGAGTTGAACATACTATTTAAAATATTTTATGAAGAGTCTTTTATCTTTTGATCATGAATAGTAATGTATTCAGGGAACCAAGCATGCCTCACATAACAGTTCTGCAGTAGTCAACTTACTTGTTTAATGTAATGATACCCAGGATATGTGGAGATTTGGTATCCACTGGGTGTCACTGTTTCTTCTTAAGCCTCACAGGAAAAGTTTCCTGTTATGCCCTTATTGTGTTGCATTTAATTTTCTGTTTTACTATTTTGTACTGATAACACATTTTAACTGGTTAGCAAATAATTAATGTTAAAATAAACATTAGCCATTACTGTGTGCAATTAGTTTTTAACTCATCCTCATATTACATATAAAGAAACCAAGGCACAGAGAGGTTACTTTACTTGACCAAGATGGTGACATATAAGATTTGAGAAAAGAAAATCTGACTTCAGAGTTTTCATTCTTAACTATGCTATGAAATATTAACAAAAACAAATAGCCCAATTAAAAAATGGTCAAGGAATCTGCATAAACATTTCTTAAAAGACGACATGCAGATAATAACAGAACTATAAAATTTTTAAAAACCCATGCTTTTGTATTGAAAAAGATAATATTGCTAAAATGTCCATATAACCCACTTCATAAGGGTTGTCTTTTATACTTATAAAATTATAAGTTTAGAGTTAGCAATGATGAAAGAGTGTCCAAATATATATTCATATTTTTAGTCTCTTTGACTGACTGATGGTGAGTTGTATACAACTAAAATTAAAGAGTATTTATTTGTGTTTGTGTTGTGAGTGCCAGTATTCTGGCAGTTCACAGTAGAGGCAGACTTACATAATTTAGTCGGCAGAGCTGAGGCTTAGAATTTAGAGGGGATCCCTTTTGCCTTCTTCATGAGTCTGTAAGTTACAGAAATAACTTTTTTCTTTATTTACTATCTGGTTTATTTTTAATGTTAAAATATTATGTGTTTGTGCTTTAATATTTGTGTCAATTTTTGTTTTTTTGGGTGGGAGTCACTGTTAATGCATTTTCCATGGAATGAATAAATGAATGAATTAATGAACACTGTTTTTTAACTCCTTCTGAAGGTGAGGGTGGTGAGATCATCTCCACCAAGTTCTCAGTTCAAAGCCACATTTCAGGAGTCTTACCAGGTCTATAAGCGTTACCAGATGGTTATTCACAAGGACCCACCTGATAAACCAACTGTGAGCCAGGTCAGCAGGCCAAGTGTAATTTTTCTGTGCAAACAGAACTTTCCCCACCATTTGATACCATTGTATGAACTCTTGGTTTATTTGTGGTACTTTTTATTTATATTCTATTTGCAGTATAACTGCAAAGAGATAGGACTATGAATTAATGGACTTTCTGAAAGTGCAAATTTTACCTAGAGCCATGTTCAGTGTTAATTGTGTATAATTTCAGAGTGGAAAGTAACCAGTAGAATTCTTTATTTAAAGTTACAATGTTTAGATGCATTTATATAAAAGTTAGTAATAAATAAAGCTCTAAATTAAAATCTATGAGAAAAAGCAAAAAAGTTTTATATTTTTATGGTAGGCATACTTTGTCCAACATGGTCAATGTCCTTTATTCATATTTAAAAGTCATATGTAGAGAGAGTTCATAACAGCTTAATTATTCTTTGTTAATGTACTATTCATGCACAACTGAGTGGGACCAGAAAAGTAAGATAGAATGTTTTAATGGAAGTCCTCATAAATGCTTGTAATTTTATAAATCAAAAGACCCAAGAAAAATCTGGAAGATATAAAAGCTTAAAACACTAAATATAAGTAAAGCTGGCAAAAGTAGTGGCCATGATCACAGTTAGCAACAGTAGTGACTCCAGTGTACGTAGAGAACCACAGTAGGTAGACAGACAGAAAACAGAAATAAAACAAAAGAAATTGTCCTGGCTTTTTTAAGTTTAAGTTTTTTTTAAGTACCAGTATAGCACTTCAGGTTCTGTGCTAGTCAGCCTGTTCAAGGGTTTCTTCTTTTGTTAGCATGTTTCAGTGCTGAGCTTTGGAAGTGGATTTGCGGAGATCTTACTCTAGCCTCACCTTCAGAAGCATATCATCAGGTAGAGATGTTTCAATAGCATTTGCTTGTATTTTCCTTGCTCTGAAGGTGAGGTTAGTACCTGTCTCCTTTGAGGACCCAGAGTTCAAGTCGTCCTTCAGCCAGTCCTTTTCTTTATATGTCAAGTATCAAATGGCCATACACCAGGATCCACCTGATGAATGTGGGAAGACTGAGGTATCGTTCGTCAAACGTTTTTTTCTATGATGATAGCATTTGTCTGTTAGGAATCGTAATGTATAACCTTCTTATGCCATTTTCTTGTCTGTTGAGTAGAGCTGATCCTTTCAGTGTGTTTTACTGAACTTTTTGTGAAAACGAGTCGTGAGCATTTTAAATCCTTCAGAAAAAAGGATTGCAAATTCAAGATATGAATAAGGTATATATGAATAAGGTGATAAGATGTGAGTAAAATATGCTTTTATGCAGTATTCTCTCTAGGAGTCTGCATGTAGTGTGTTTGCATATTCAGTCATTAGTCTCAGTCATCAGACATTCACTGAGGGCCCATAGTGTGCTGGACTGTGTGTCACAGAACCAAGGAAAGGGTCTCTGCCTTCAAGAAATTGATAATCAAATGGGAAAGACAGACCAGTGAGTAAATATAATTAAATTTGTTGAGATTACTCCATCGAGTATCATTTAACAAGCATTTGTTGAGAGCCTATATTTCCCAGGCTGCGGATATTGAAATGAATGAGCTTGCATAGTTGCCACAGTGTGAGAAAGATGCCAACAGACGCAGAAGAATTAGGCTTTTGATTTTTTGTTTGACTGCTTCTGTTTTTTTAATGACTGCTTCTGTTTTTTTAATCCTGCTAAAAGAGGATTAAGCCTTGGCCAGTTAGCCCACTTGGTAGAACGCAGCCTTGTAACACCAAGGTCAGGGGTTCGGATTCCTGTACCGGCCATCTGCAAAAAAAAAAAGCATTTCAAAAGAGGATTAATAAGGCAGGAGTTAATGCTGCATATTCCCTGAGAGAGCTGACTTCCCAGGTCTCACAGAGCCTTCTAGATAAAGTGTGGTCTGTAGACCAGCAGCATCAATGTCACCTGGAAGGCAGAAAATCTCAGGTCCTACCGAATTACTGTCTCCATTTTGAACTGGGTCTCTGGGTGATTGACATGCACATTCCAGTCTGAAACATGCTGCTGTTAGTAATCGCATTCACAGGTGGCAGGTGTTCTGCCAGGCCCAAGAAGCTTGCTTTGATATTCTTAAGGAATTTTACTCCTTTCTCAACTTTCCTTCTTCCTACTGCTCTGGACTTTCTTTGTACCTGCTTGCTTAGCAGGTGTGAATAGTTGGCCAGAATAGTTGGCCAGAACCCTGACATGGTCCACTGTGTATACTTTGAGGTTCTTCCCCAAGAATTTTCCCCAGTACACTTCATGCCTCTATGGAGTCTGTTTGTACAGACTTAGTGCGGTGCTGAAGGCATTCATTGTCTAACTGGGGAGACAGGCTGGTAAGTAATTCCAGTGCTGTTAGTATTAGCCATTGGATTGATTAGTAGGGAAAGCCAGCTTAGTGTAGGACTGGAGGTTAGAGAGTTTTTTCTGAGGGAGGTGATGTCTGAGCCACATCTGGAAAGATGAGTAGGTGTTTGTCAGGTCAAAAAGAGACAGTGCTCTGGGCAACAGGACTAGCATGTGCAAAGGTGTGGAGGTAGAAATTGTATGCCATGTTGGAGGAACTACTGTTTAGTATGGCCAGAGTATAGGGTACACATTAGGGGGAAATAAGAGATGAGGCTTTGGAGATTTAGGTAGGAGCCATATTTAAAAAAACTTTTTTTTGGAAATATTTAAACTCCCATGTACCCATTGCCTATTTTCCAATGATTCTCAACATGCTGCCATTCTTGTTTTATCTATTTCTCCATATTTTTTTGTTGTTATTTTTGCTGGATTATCTTATACCAAATCTCAGACTTCATATCAGTTTATCTGTAAGTACTTTAGTATGTATCTTAACTCACTAAAAAAGTGAGACAGTCAGATATTTGCCTACTAGTAAGTACAATGCAATAAGAAGAATAAAGCACCACCTATGGAATATTCTTGCTAAAGAAATTGAATCTGGATCTATATAAGATTCTGGATCCAATACCAGTTCATAGGAAATATGAGGGACAAAGGAATATGTTAAAATGACACCTGGGCAAGTCTATAAAATAAATGATCTAGTTTCTTTAAATAAATAAATGCTATCTAAGAAAAGAGGGAACTGTTCTAGATTACAAGTTATAAACTTAAAATAACTAGATACCACTGTCACACTGAGCAAAATGTACAATAATATCATCTAATGCCCAATTCATGTTTAGTTTTCTCTAGTTATCTCAAAAATGTCTTTATACTTGATTTGTTTGAATCAGGATACATATAAGGTCTGTATATCGCATTTTATTGATACTCTTTTAAGCATCTTAATTTAGAGCAAATTTCCCTCTTTTTTAAAATTGCATTTTGTTTAAGAAACGGTATCGTGTATCTTAGAATTAATTTTGCTTCCTTCTGTTGACTGCTTTTGAAAATGTAATCAAATACAAATGTGGTATTTGTGGGTATGTTTATGTGCATGCAATCTCCATATATGGGGGTGTGTATGGACATGCATATGCATCCCCAAATATGCACATCTGTACTATATACCATAATACACACACGTGTGTACACACACATTTTCTCCTCTCTCTTATATAGAGGAAATGCATCGGACATGGTCTTCCATACTTTTTACCATTTATATGTTGGAGGTCACTCCATCTCAGTACAGTTGTGCAATTTAAAACTTATGAATTGTTTATTTCTGAAATTTTCCATTTAATATTTTTAGATCATGATTGACTGAGTGTAACTGAAACCGAGGAAAGTGAAACTGTGGATACGAGGGGACTGCTGTGTATGGAGAGATCTTCTTTGTTCCATTTTACAGCTAGCTGTAGAGTACTCTTCATTTTTCAGCCATTTAGCTGTTTCTAGTCTTTTGCCGTTACATAGTGTTGCAGTGAGTACCTGTATGAATAGAATTTTTTGTTATTTTCGTCAGTGTTTTGTTATAGGCTTCCAGATTGCTGGGCCAAAGGTAAAATCCTTTTTGGAGGGGTTCCTCTCCACAGGGGTTGTACTGTTTTTCATTACAGCCAGTAATCTATGAGCATGCCTGTTCCTCCATGGCCTCAGTCATAGAGTATTTCGCAAGAATTTTGTGTTTTTGCAATGTAGATGGGAATGAAATTTCTATGTGGTTTTAATTTTCAT